GCTGAGTCACAAAATGTAAATATAGGAAACCTCGAAATAATAAAATTATAAAAATCTAAATGATTCCACATCATTCTTATTTAAATACCAGCCACTTCCAATTTGTGCTGTTTTCCTGTTGCTTGCCACCTGCCCAACAAGTAGCTTTGCATAGGCACTAGGAGCTAGAAGAAAAAAGGCCACCCTATTTAACTAGGCCATTTTCATTCAAGAAAAAAATAAGCAAGAAATCTATAAAGTAATGAATGAGCCTATTAGTTCCACCAGACTAAAATCATACAGTCTACGTATGTGGTCCTCCCAGCCACATCTGTCATGAACCGTTTTGGAACCACGAACTGCAGACCACTTATTAGGTAAGACTGAACAGAGATGTGTCATTCTTAAGAAATATTCCATGAAAGAATGGATACAATTGTAAAAGAAATGTCCTGCTATATTTGTAACAGCTAACACTAATATACATGCATTTTTCCATCAAACTCAGTTATAGGACTTTTTTAAAAAAATGAGATAAAGAATTAACAGGAACAAACTGGCTGCATAATCGCAAGATAATGAGTTAAACAGCCAAACATCCAGATTAACTGTCAAACAGCTCCATTAAACACAAAATGTTCATTATTCCTCTGTCAGTTTTCTACCACATATTGGTAATGTCATATTAACATCTCTGTTCTGAAGTCTGCTTTAAACTATCAACAATTCTGTCTTTAAAATACAGTATTTTGCATGCTCTTTTAGAAACAGATTTGAAATGCAGATTCCACACACAGATCAGAAAACCATTTCAACTCAGGACCTTTGAACAGGCACATCAATCAACTTTTGTAATTGTCTTTATAAGCAGAAAAAGCGAAACTTACCAGTGTAGCAGATTTTAGCTACATTTTTGTATGAATAGTAGATATTAATTATTCAGCAGCATTCACATCTATTTAAGTTTTTTTAAGCAGATTTCTTAAATTCAGTTAAAGCCCGCATGAACCAAAATGTGTGAATACTTTTGATTTAATAAACTATCAATATTATTTATCAAGGATAGCTACACAATACTCTGATTCCCCCCCCCCCCCTGGAAGTATTTGAGAGAAGCAGGATACATTTAATGTACAAGCAGGCATGAAACCTTTTACGGTTCTCTGTCATTCAATAATGAATTCTGAAAAAGAAATCACAGACACCCAAGTGGTTTGGCAACTGTAAGTGACAGAAGCGATACTAAATCCTCTGTTTACACTGGGGATTAGCTGGGGAGATTTTGAGTAGCAAACTGAGCTGTCCATGGTCAAGGGAACCTGTTCCTTGTCAGCCCATAGGGCACAAGGACAAAACATGGTCCTGGTAGGAAGTGACCCAGAAACATATTCCAACGAAGGATTTATACAAAGCCAGTCTGCCTCAGAGAAACTCCATATGACCATTAACTGGGCTGCAAGGCTTGCCAGGAGGCCTAATTACAGGTCTACAGAGCCCAATAACAAAAGCTGAAGAGCTTTAGCCTAGGGATGATCTGCTTTATACTGACTTGAGAGAGTCCATATAGAGTGACAAAAAGAAAGCGGTTTAGCTTTAAAATTCTCCCAAGAGACACAGCATTGTAACTAAGCCTGGAAAGCCCACATGCAACATACTTCAGATAGGCTTAAACATACCACCCTCTCAAAATTAACATTCAGCTACTGCCTGCTTAACATCTGCTCAAGCATGGCACATTGCTGTGATATTTTTAGACTACGCTAAAATGGCTTTCTTCTAACGACTGAGAGGGATAAGTAAATAAAAATCACTCAAATATAAATTTATAGCTGATAGTAATAATCCCTGCTGAGTGGCAGTTTTTATGAGCACAAAATTAGTTTCCTTAAACAACTCATTAAAACTACTTAAGTGGCTTTAGTGATTGCCCTCGCTGTGTAAACGTATCTACAGTCTGTCATTAACATGAAATCTATGACCAACGTTCAAGCAATATAAACTAGGTCTATGTTACTCAAAGCATGGATTAGCAGTCTAGGTTTTTTAAAAGAATATTTTATGCAAATTTCATAATGGCTAATTAAGTAACTCTGAAACATTCTAGAAGATTACCTGAAAGCACCATGAGTGTAATAAACACACCAGGAACATGCTGTGTTTTGAAATGCACTCAGAACTCCTACGCAAGAACTCTTTTCAACAAACCTTACAAATATTGGTCTATACTTTGAAAATTAAACTGAACTGCTCTTTGACGCTAAGGTTTTTTACTGAGCACTCATACGAGGCTGAGTATGATCAGCAATATCTTACAGTACTCAGCACCCACCATTTTGGCCACAGAAAATATACATCAGTAATACTGAAGAGAAATCTTGCCCAAAGTAAAAATCTGAATGTAAAACAGGAACAGAAATATGATACTTAAGGATTGCATATTACTAATGCACCTACAATACCTCTGTATTAAAATGTTAAATAAAGGAAACGTACATTAAATAATGGAAGTATTATAAATATATTGCAATGGCTTGATTTAATTATGGAACCAAACAAATACAGACTAGATGTAAAAAGAAAAACCTTCGTTTCCCACAGAAAATAGTTCATAAAGAACATCATCCAAAGTCCAAAGTGCACATTTCCAAAGCTATTACAAAACATACATGAGCTTGATTCAGATCTACAAACAATCCACAGCTTGCCACTACATTTTTACACTTCTGAAGAACTCAGATGTCCTCTTACCTGATTCCCAGGTTTGTTGCACACCATAGTTCATTTCTGCACCAAACTAGAAACAAGGCTTTGCAGTTGTCTTTCCCCTCCAAACCAGGATTCCAAACTGGTTTGTTCTATTTTTAGAATCCTGGTCTGGAGTACAAGAGCAAACCACAGTTTGCCCCTTCATATGAAACTGCACACTGTACTTTGGGTCCCGCGGAAAAGGTCCCAACACCCAATGGAAAGAGCAACTTCAGTTCCTCAGCTGCTGTGATGCTGTCTTATATGTGATGGACCCTTGGTCCATCAAGGTCAGTACTGTCTACTCAGACTGGCTGCAGCTCGCCAGGGTCTCATGTAGAGGTCTTTTACATTACCTACTGCCTGGACTTTTAGCTGAAGTTGAACCTGAGACCTTTTACATGCCAAGCAGAAGCTCTGCCACTGAGCCACAGCCCCTCCCTATGGCTCCTGTGGAGCCATACAACTCCCCCCATATGTTTCTCCTGGGGGTCCTCATGCAGCAAGTGCAGCATTTCAGGGGGCATTTCCTGCTGCAGCAGGAGGCAGATAATTAAGTGTTTCTGTGTACAGAATTTAGATGGGATCCAACCCTATGGTTTCCCACAAACTGAGAAATAAAAACTTACCTTGCCATACATAAGAGGTGGAAACAAGGCTTATGCAAGCAAGTACAGTTCTATGGTTTGCCATTGCTAAACACAACTTTTAATTGTACAATACCAATCCATATTCAGTGTGTGTGCCTTTCCTTTTCAACATCTAAATGAAACAGGATTTATGAATAACTAACATGTTTTCCAATCCCATGATTCACTGATGAGCAATCTGGACCTCTAAGTGTAACTCCAAGTTTAAGTTTTTTTTAAATTAAAAAGTGTCATAAAAACCTCAATATGTCTTGAAATGTACAGGTTTCTGATCACAATGACATAAAACTCATAGTACCTTTAATACATTTTCTAGGTGTTAAATTAAAAAATGAGGTGTGACAGCTCAGAGCAGTATAAACAAATTGTGCTTTTCAAGGTCTACACTGTCACATCTACTTTATAATTATATGCTTCAAATACATATTAAAAGAATGGAAGAACAATGCATATGTTTGAAAGTACGACATAAAATGCTACATTGGAAAATGTGAATATTTGCAAGCTATAGTAAAAGGAAAATGTTTTGTTTTAAACAAAAGCTTTCAAATATACCCTTAAAACTGTATATTTGCATATTTCATCTTAGGATAAATACAAGAAGATAAAACTGAATGCATAAAATTAAATCATAATTTGGATAAATGTTAAAACATATTAAATAAAACACTTATTTTTAAATACTAAAGCAGGCATACAAATTCCACAGGATAGAGAGGGATACTAGAATATGAATGTATCAGATTTTTTACTTTGTTGTCCTTCTGATATTAAGATGTTCAATACTAAGATCCTGCAGCTCTCTGGTGTTCTACTGTGAACCAGTAAATACAAAGGTGTAATTATACCCTAGCAGAACCACATAAAGATTATTAAACAGTTATATATCTGTGCTGACTTCCATTTCTACATTTAAAATGTAGTTCTTGATTATAGTTCTTGTTGTTAACATATTGCTGTCATCACAAGCACAGAGCAACATAGAGGGCTGCATTCTACAAGCACAATTATGGATCCTCCTCCACCTTTACTTTATGCCCCTGCATCCCCTGAATCACTGCCCCTCCTCTCAAAAGTCAATGCTCTGAGGATGGAAAACAGCACAGACAAAATACCCCTAAGGTATCAAAGTGGTAACAATATGCAGAGACAAAACTGATTTATTTAAATATTGGTATGCCACTTTTTCCATCAAACACAGTGGCTCAAAGAAGTTTATAAAGGCCTGAGCAGCAAGCAACAAGCAATTAAAAACCTAAAATTAAAACAATTATCTGCTAAATACCTGTCTGAAAAGACCTGCCTTGAATCTTTTCTAGAAGAAAACTAGCATCTGGAAGAAAACTGGCTGCCATCTGTTTTAAAACTGGATTCTTAATTGTTTATGATTTTATGATGTGGTTTTATTGTTTCATATTCCTGTTGCGACCCGCCCTGAGCCTGCTTGCAGGGGAGGTGGGATAAAAATAAATAAATAAATAGAAGCACTTCACAACAGAGGTCATTACACAAAAGTCAAGCGAAACTGCCTGCACTTCAGTTCCACCACAATTCCTCTGTCATCGGAAAGAAGACAATAACAACCCATAATCTCTTCCTTTCTCATCTTGATGTATCTTTACTTACCAGCAGCTTCAAGAACCAGCTGTAATCTTGCTTTGGCCTGTTCAGCAGCAGACTAGAAATGAAGAGATAGATAAAATTAAAAATTCATTTCTGTGTCAGCTAATTGCTGAAATCGATGCCTGGGTGAGTTACACATTCTAGCACACACTTCTGAGATGTCTTAAATATTAAATTTGCTATATTGTTCTATGCCCTAACCATGATAGCCCAGGCTAGCCTGATCTCATCAGATCTCGGGAGCTAAATAGGGATGTCCCTCATCAGTATTTGGATGGGAGATCACCAAGGAATACCAGGACTGCAACACAGAGTCAGGCAATGACAAACTGCCTCTGAATGTCTCTTGCCTTGAAAGTCCCACGGGGTCACCATAAGTCATCTGTGACTTGACAGCAATACACACACACATATTGTTCTCCTGTATTCTAGGGTTCTTAGGTCAAAATTTCCTGAAAACCTTATTTTGTTTTAGTCTGGGGTTGGGGTGGGGGTCGGTTGAAAATCTTATTTCACAAAACATGATACACAGAGAAATCAGTTACATTATACACATGCTTATGTAAGAAGAATCAATGAAGAGAATGAGCACACCACTCAAACCTTGCAGGACTACAATAAAGCAGAGAACAATGACCTCAAATACTCTGCCACAGGGGTCTTTTTCTAGAAAAAGAGCTGCAGGAACTCATTAGCATAGGGTATGCTAATGAGCTACTAGGCTATTAGCATATGCCACACCCCCTGACATCACCGGAAGTTATGTCAGAGGGGGAAGCAAAGGGGGGGAGGCATCTTCAAAAGCCTCCCCTTCCCTTCCCCAGCCGGCCTGCGGAGGGGGGGAGCGAAGAGTTGTGCCACAGAAGGAGGATGAGGAAAGGAAAGAGAGAGAGTAGAGAGAAGGAAAGAAAGAGGGAAAGAAAGAGAAGGAAAGAAGAAAGGAAAAAAGGAAGGAAAGGGGATAAAAAGAGAGAAGGAAAGAGGGAAAGAAAGAGAAGGAAAGAAGGATGGAAAGAGAGAGAAGGGAAGGAGGGAAAGAAGAAAAGGAGAGAATAAAAGGAGGGAAAGAAAGGAGGGAAAGAAAGAAAGAGCGAGAAGGGAAGAAGGAGGGAAAGAAAGAAAGAGCGAGAAGGGAAGAAGGAAAAGAGGTAAAGAGAGAGAAGGAAAGAAGAAGGAAAAGAGAGGAAGGAAGGAAGAGAACGGAAAGAGAGAACGACCCCAGCGCTTTTGTGCAGGCCTGGGGGACCCAGCAGCAGGACTCTCTGCGCCTCCCCCCAGCCCCAGCGCTTTTGCACAGGCCTGGGGGACCCGGCTGCAGGGCTCTCCACGCCTCCCCCCATCCCCAGCGCTTTAGCGAGGGGAGCTGGGGGCAGGGCTTGCTGCCGCCATTATTTGCGGCAGCTCCTGGGTTGCCGAAGGAGCACTCTGGCCCATTCCAGCCCCAAAAGACCCCTGCTCTGCCATCTCTAAACAAGGGAAGAGAGAAAAAGGTAAGGGAATCCACACTCATTTTTAATTTGCACTTAATCCAGTTAAAACTATACAAATTTAACATTGCCCATTGGCTAGTATTGGGAGCTGCTTAAACAGCGGTATAAGAGAGATACACACAAAAGATAAACAATGGCTTAAATCGTACCATTTGGCAAGAGTATGACCTATACTAAGTGGAAATATTGTGCCAACCTTATCAATACTACTCAGTCCCCAAAGTGCTGAAAATATAAGCAGAATGCTGAAAATACACAACAGAAATTGCTTTCACACTGTATTGCAACAGAAAAATACCAACCCAGGTGCCTGTTCAAGCAATCCAAATGTTAGTTAAGGTGGATCAAAACCTGCTCCCGTGAGCAGAGAGGATCACTGGACATTACAGTTGTCACTCAAGTACATCTTTCATTTTTGTGCCAAAAATCAGACTGTTTGACCTAGATCTGTGCCCATGATGTGTAAAATCTTTCCAGCTATATAGAATTATAACAGGGCAAGGCAATATAGCTTGTCAGAGATTCTATTGCAAACAACCCTCAGACAGACTTCATGCTTTATAGCGGCATTTCAATATTTCAGTTCTGAACACGCCCATCATTATCTCTTCTCTGCCTGTTTTGCTACTACTCTAACAGTTAAGCATTAGATTATCAGTACTCTAAACAGTTCACGTTTAATGTACTATGAAACCAGGTGTTAACCACATCACAAACCAGACCCAGTCAACCCAAAGGGATCCAATAAAATTAACTCTAAACAATGATTTCCTTCTACTTTACAACTAGTTTGGTATAGTGGTTAAGTGTGCGGACTCTAATCTGGGAGAACCGGGTTTGATTCCCCACGCCTCCACTTGCACCTGCTGGATGACCTTGGGCAAGCCATAGTTCTAGCACAGCTGTTCTTGAAAAAGAGCAGTTTCTGTCAGAGCGCTCTCAGTCCCACCTACCTCACAGGGTGTCTGTTGTGGGGAGGGGAAGGTAAAGGAGTCTGTAAGCCACTGTGAGACTCCTTTGGGTAGTGAAGGGCGGGGTATAAATCCAATCTCCTCTTCTTTTTCTTCTTCTAGTTTATATAAATGAGCTATCCCCTACAGTAAAACAGTATTTTTAATAACAGTAAAAGTGTAAGTTTTAGTAGACATTTCATCTTAATTTCAGTGGCAGTTTTAAAAAAAGAATTGGAAGTAATTGTCTTGAGAATATGTTATCAGCCCTTTTTCACTCACAGCAATTATACCAATATAATTTTCAGGATATAAGCACAACCATATCAGAAGGGAAAAATGAAATCATGGGGTTTTCCAGTTTTCTACAACCTAACAGATCTCTTTAAAAATCTGTATTTATCTTATGATTAATTAGGCATAGATACTTTTATAGCAGTTGATATATTTCTCTGGGTATGTGCGTGTTTGCACAACTGGCTCCAAGAGTACACCAACATTCAGCAGAGCAGGGGGCAGGGAAGAACGTATGTTTTCTATGGCATCTGCCTATTTTGACAGCCATAGTAGTTCAGCAAATTCAGATGGAAAAAGTCATCCTTAGGAACAGAAGATCACTATATAGCATGTAATCCAGAGAAACTAAGCATGATAGTTTCCTATAGCATCAAAAGAACTTACCTCAATTGCACCCACAGAACAACCACAGAACAATAATATACATAACCATGGTAGCCATCACCTCCACATTAATGTTAGGAACATAGATTCTCATATAAGAACCACACAGTATTAAGACCTTATTTGCTCACCTTTCTGCCACAGAGGTCCCCAACCATCAGATTCTAACTTTTGGGGGAATTCTCCAAAAGGAGAGCAATAAAAGTTTATGCTATTACTTGATCATGGCTTATATGGCAACACAGCCTATACTGGACTCACTAGAATTCCTTCAGCAAGGAAAAAAGTGGGAAGCTTGCAAAGGCTTAGCTCAGAGCTTTATATGATTTGCAGACACTGAATATGCCGAATGAAGCGTCCAAATGAGTTTCTCCAAAGTTCTGACCAACAAAAGAAAATTACAATAGTCCAGGCTCTGATATGCAAATGCAAATATTGACAATCTTCCATAGACTATCACAAAACTGAAAGGTGAAAAAAATTACCTAGTAAGAAAAAAACATTTTGTCTATAATTACAATCCGTTGCATTTTGTAAACGATGGTTAATTCCTACATCTTAGAATTCTCATAATTTTAAAGATGGGTATACATTTTGCAAGAATAATAACACCATTAGAGAGTTGTGTTTACACTCAAACTGCCTGCATGATGGAGTACACTAAGTCCTTTCAGATAACATTTTAAGTATCCAAAAAAGAAATGTATGTCAGCCTTAAAAAAAAAAAAAAAGTCTCACAGAGAGCAAGCAAATGGTAGAGAGAATGCAAGCTTTTATCTAACCTTTCTCCATATCCAAGAAAGTGCAGACAAAAATTCTTTTACAAGATATTCCTGAGCAAGACAAGTGCTTCTTCCTCTCAGGGGACAAAGAACCGTTAAGCTCTACTGAGTTGCTATTGTAAAGAAAAAGAAGAAAGGCTGAACTAACACAGGTGTGAGAGACATGACAGGATGGAATCTTTCCTCACACACAGGACCTGCAGATCTACTTTCAAGCAAGAACACCAGCCTATTGCTTGAAATGATGGGCTGGGGCAACTGTCAGCCTTCAGAATCAGTCTAGTAATTTTACCCCTATAGGAAAAATGCTCCCCTACAGTGGCTGGCTGCTGGTGTTAAATTACGAATACAACTGCCATGGCTTGAAGCTCAATGATGTGAACTGCTGCTTGGGAGGAAGGGCTACATCTTGGTGTCTTGGGCACCAGAGTGAAGGCTTTTTGTCAATGGACTGACTTGCTAGTAAACGCTTTAGCTAATGCCAAGTGACAAACTAGAATGCCTAACTATGAACAGATATGCCTGTTAGATATGGGCTCACAGTAGGCTTTGCATGTGCAAACAGGAACACAAATTTACTCAGGGATCATGACCTCTCTTTGCTCAGCAGGGAAAAAATGTACGACAAACCAGCACATCCAAAATTCTTTCTGGCAGAAAGCCGGTTTGGTGTAGTGGTTAAGTGCGCGGACTCTAATCTGGGAGAACCAGGTTTGATTCCCCACTCCTACACTTGCACCTGCTGATGTGACCTTGGGTCAGTCACAAGCTCTGGCACAGCTGTCCTTGAAAAAGAGCAGTTTGTGTCAGAGTTCTCTCAGCCCCACCCACCTCACAGGGTGTCTGTTTTGGGGAGGGGAAGAGAAAGGAGTTTGTAAGCCGCTCTGAGACTCCAAGTGAAGGGCGGGGTATAAATCCAATCTCTTCCTCTTCTTCTCCTCTTCTTAGTACAAAGAACGTATCTGCACCTGCAGCTCCCAACAGCCCAATGCCAGAGGATATGAGAGAAATGTATAGTATGCCTATCAGAAACATTGGGCTAGAGGACATTCCAACTCATGGGGATCATAGTCATCCATGATGCAACTCATCTGGGTAGGCTGAGTCCACATAGGAACACCACACTCCAGGAGTTGAAGTGATAATGAATTA